GAAACGAGCTCCCATTTTGCTACTTTGAAGTTGAAACCATCTTTCCAAACACTCATCAGTGTCGTGGCACAAAAATGAAATTTCCAACTAAACAAAACGCATTTTTTTTTCTAATAGACAACGTAAAAATCCGGGTGCGACCTCCTTTCGTTTTTGAGAGATGCATTTTTAAAATACCCTTTGCAAGGGCGGGTTTGTGCAAAAAAATCGAAATTGCCGGTCAACCGTAGAAGCAAACGCTCGATAAACGGGTGTCAAAAGATTGCAAGTTGAGTCAAGATTGAAGAAAAATTAGTTGAAAATTTTATCGGTTATTCGGGACCAGAAGGGTCTTCTAACGGTGATGAAAATTTTCGTTTTTTAGCTTTAGTTCCAAAAGATTTAGCAATTTTTAAATGAGGAAGTGCATGTCGATGTTTATTAGCTGACAAAAAGCAGTATTGAGGGTGATTGTTATGAAACTTTCGGCATCTGTCGAGTCAAGTGTTTTTTAAGATATTGGGAAGTTGAAGGCTCCAGCTGCTTCAACTAGGAAGATTTCAATTTTTAAATATGAGAGGGCTTTTGGATAGGAACATGCCGATATTAATATTTAAGAAGCTGCCAAATCCCAATATTTTTGGTGATTTTTTTAACTTTTAGCGTAGGTGTTTGGAGGATCTCCTTCTAAAGATGCAAAAAATTGAGCGCAGTTGGTTGAAATCATCCATTTTGAGACCGATATTAACTTCCACAAACCAGGAATTTTTCTGAAACTTGCAGCAACCGTAGTATCGAGTGTGTTCTTGAGATGGGCAAAAGTTGAACTTCCCACTGGCTCTAGTTTGAAAAATGTTTAAAAAAAAAAGAGAACAGTTAGGGAAAACATCCATTTTGAGACTCCCATTTTATAAAACTTTCAGTATAGTTAAGGGTAAGTGTCTGGTAAAGGCGATTGATATTTGCGCGTTAAAAAAAAATTGCGCTTAATTTTTTTTTGAAAAATGTTGAAAATTTTCGAATTTTTTGAAAATCGCAAATCTGCAAATTTTCCACGGAAGAGTGGAACTCAGAGCAAAATTCCACTTTTCAACAACATCGTTTTCCTATACAGTTTCGGAAAAAATTTGGAAATGGAATTTCGTGTTGGAGAGACTTAAACTACCATCCACCTTGTTTGCACACTGATTTGCCCACAACTCCGGAACTGTTGAAAATATTTCAAAAAGACAAAAAGCCCTGGATTTCCCCGGGCATTCGCTAGAGTTTCCCTGTCTTGACCAAAATCGACATTGGCACCTGTTTAGGAGATAAGCAACCCTGAATGTAGACTCTTCCTTTTGCGCATACCTCCACTCTTTTGCCCATAACTTCGTCAAACATCCAGACATGTGAAAACTTCCCAAACCCCCACTAAGCCCAAAGAACTAGCTATAAAACCTACTCCAACCCCATATTGGATAGCGGCAACACCAAGGGAGTAAATCGAGTTCGAACTCAGAGAGTGTGCATCCTTTACAACGGAGCATAATTAATAATGAGGGTACGATATAATAATAATTAATTTAGAGGTGTATTTCTTTCGATTGATATATCAATGGCCGGGGGGCGTCAACAACATGTGTGGAAAATTAAAAACCACAATATCAACCGCAGTCTCTCGAGGTGGTGTAATTTCTACCACCCGGAGCCGAGCTATTAGGCGTTGGAAAGGAAATTTATTTATTATTATAAAGGGTGTGAGGCCTTTACAATCGAACAAATTGTTTCCTGTGCGGTGAAAAGGCCCACCTAACTGAAGTTGCGTTAATAATAATGTCTCTATTAAAATGAGGGATGGCGTGAGAGATTTTCCATGGCACATCGATGAAAATGGGTTTTTAAGTCCAGCCGGTGACCACAAGCCGGTTACAATAAGAGCGCCTGAAGCCCCAAACCAACGCGTTTTTGGCAGCACCAGCCCACCTTTTGTTTTGCATACCTACTTAAAACCGAAATACGTCCATCTATCACAATAGCCAGTTATTTCCTTTATAGCTTTGAATAATTGCAACTTCACACTTTTCTAGTTGGTTTGCTTCCTTTTTACGATCTATTGTGTTTCAGTGCCGAACTCGCTTTATGGACTTTTGTTGTTCTATTTTTACGGTTTATTGCTAAATTACATTGTAGTCTCCATTACTTATCTCCTGCTTAAGTAAGCCATTAAATCGAAAATAAGTCCATTCCACTGGCAGGCTGATAGACAAAAACGGCCGCTCTTTCCGCTACATTATCAAGCCAAAGGCTTTTATTGTGCTCATTGCCAAATAAGTCAATAACACCGCTTTCAATTAAACAAACGATTGCCCAAATTGGGCAGGATTTTGTGATTAAATCAATCCAATAATCAGGTTAGTGAGTTTAATTACATACCGATCCGAACTAATCCATTTCAGTCTTGCATGCGTCGGTCGCCATGTTGGCTTAAATGCACGTTAGGGAATTACCCAAAGATAAATGAGTTTATTATTGTAATTTTATGTCTTCATTCGCGTGTGGCCGCTGTGGACGAGCCCAACGGCCATTGGAAACAAGTCGGATTACCAAACTAGCTGGACAGAAGCAGGGCCAAAGAGAGAACCGGGCAACTGTTGCGATTCGCCAAAATGCGAAAGTTTCCAAATATGTCTGCAATTAGCAGTCATCTTCAAGTCGACTAACGGGGCCGACTCTGTGTGTAATTTTAGAAGCTGCACATTGAAATAAAGAAGTTAATTATCGACTGTCGGCTAAGTGCAAGAATGGGGCAGAAAATGCAGTTTTAATTTTCGGGTTTCCGACAAAGTTACTGCAATCTCATGCCCACCTACAGTCAATTAACAGCGCCCTTTAATTAAAAGTATAACTGTATAACCTGTATAATAATATAATAAAGTATAAATATATAATGTATTTTCCCGAAATGTATGTACCTACAGCCTGGGTTTGGCTTCCAGCTCGGAAAATGTGGAGGGTGTCGTAGGTTGGATTATTTGTTCTTTAACATTAAACTATCTTTACTTATGGTTCGAACGCAAAAAAACTCTAAATTCAACAATTATCTAGTCAGTATCGGGCCCAAAGGGCTCAGCACAACAAACGCTTAATTTTGAAAAACAACAACCGCATTAAAGC